TCTCTCCTGCTTCTCCCCCTCCCCCAAGCAACCGTGCAACCACTGTGTGTGTATATATATATATATATATGTATATACATATACATATATTTTTGCTGTGGATTAGTTTGTACTTTCTATAGTTTATCTAAATGGAATCATACAGTACGTACTTTTTTCTGGCTTCTTTCACTTAGTGACTTATTTTTAGATTCATTCATTTTATTGTAAGCATCATAGTTCATTTCTTTCAATCGCTAAGTAATATTTCATTGTATGTATATACCAGTTTTGTTTATCCATTCACCCTTTTGATGGACATTTGAGTTTTTCCCAGTTTTTGGCTATTAGAAGCAAAGCTTCTAAGAACATTGATGTACAAGGACGTGTATTTCCTTTACTGTTGGGTTAATACCAAAGAATGGAATGCCAAAGGTGTATGTTTAGCTTTTTAAGACTCTGTCAAAACTGTTTTCCAAAGTAGTTGTTTTATTTTACATTCTTACTAGAGGTGTTTGAGAATTAAGTTCTCCCACATTCTTGTCAACACTTGTTATAGTCAGTCTTTTACATTTTAGCTATTATAATAGGTGTGTAACTCATTATGGCTTTAATATACATTTCCTTAACAACGTTGAGAATCGTTTCATGTGCATATCTATCATCAAAGTCTTTTCCCCAATAAAAAACTGGGTTTTCTTATCTTTGCATTATGTGAGTTCCTTAGATATTAATAGTTCCAAGTCCATTGTCAAATTTATGCTTTGCAAATATTTTTCTCCCAGGCTGTGGCTTGTATTCATTCTCTAAATGGGGACTTTTGAAAAACAGTTTTTAGTTTTAATTATGCCCAATTTATCAGTTTGGTATTTAATAGATTATGCATTTGGTAGCATATCTAAGAAATCTTTGCCTAAACCAAAGACACAAATATTTCCCATTTTCTTCTAGTTTAGTAGTATTAGGTTTTGCATTTAGTTTTATGAATCATCTTTAGTTAATTTTTGTGTATGGTGTGAAGAATGAGTTATGAGTTAAATTTTTTTTTTGCACATGGATGTCCACAACCATTGTTCCAGCACCATTTGTTGAGAAGTTTCCTTTCTCTGTTGAATTACCTGTCAAAGGCCAGTTGTGTGTATTTATGTTTTTATTTCTGGGCTTATTTTGTTTCATTGATCTATTTCTCTATATTAAAGCCACTACCACTCTGCCTTTATTACTGTAGCTTTACCAAAATTCTTGAAATCAGTTAGTGTTAAACCTCCAAGTTTGTTCTTTTTCAGAGAGCAGAAGATGTCTTGTGCAGTGCAAGGCCTGGCTGATGGCTGAGTGCAACATAGGGTGGAATTAACTAGGTGAGCTTGGATCCATATTCCAAGTACAAATCCTGACTCCGCCTGTGTAACCATGAACAAGTCATTTAACCTTTCTCTGTCTGTTTCCTTATCTGCCAGACAAGATGTATATTGATACCCAGTCCTCCCTGGTTGGGATAATTATTAAATAAATTTGTTAACAACCAATGAAGTGTTTATACAGTGCCTCACACACCACGCACATGCAAGTGATGAAGCACTTTTATTTTCTTTGATGAATCTCTACAAGTATCTTCATTCAAATTTCTGATTTATGTGAGTCTAGATAAACATCTGCACTTTTCTCGGAATTTCTATATTCACACTTTCTTTTATAACAGATTATCCAGATACCCACAACATGCTCTTATATTCAGCAGCACAACAGCAGAGCACACACTCCCCTTCCCAGCCCACAGCTGCCTGCCAACTGGTTTGTCTCCCCTCACACACATACTCCCTTTGAGTGGCTTCCAAAACATTCGTTTCTGATTTGCTATAAAGTAAGACATAAAGAGTGACAATGAAGAAAAAAAAATCACAGATAGCTATCAGATATTCCAGAGGAAATGGGATTTAAAGTAAATTCTAGAAAGTGGTTACTTTGGAGAGGAAAGGACCGGGAAGGGAGCATATATATAGTTTTCATGTCTTAAAAAACAAATCTGCAGCAAATAAGACTATTGAGGTGTGGTGAAGTCAGGTAGTGGTTATACTGTGTTTATTATTGTAGTTTCTATACTCCTCTATTTGAAACATTTGAAACCATTAAAAAATAAAAGTACTTATTGTAGTAGGGACGACGTAACATGGATGTGGTTAAGGAACAATAATTATTGTGAAACTAAGCAAGGTTCATGGACATTTTCATTTTAAAAGGCTTGTTGAAAAATACAGGAAGGTACACAGCACACACACACACACAGACTGCTTCAAAAAGGACTTTTAAAAATTGTGAGGACTGTGAAGATTTGTATAAATAGTAATGAAAAACTTCAACGAGTAAACATTTCACTGACATTAGTAATATGTATTTGTGTTATATATATATTGTTGGAATAAATGGATACTCATTAAAATTTTTTTTTTATTAAGGTATGATTGATATATACTTATGAAGGTTTCACATGAAAAAACAATGTGGTTACTACATTTACCCACATAATCAAGTCCCCACCCACACCCCAATGCAGTCAGTGTCCATCAGTGCAGCAAGATGCCACAGATCCACTATGTGCCTTCTCTGTGCTGCACTGTTCTCCCCGTGACCCCCCACAGCATGGGTACTAAACATAATACCCTGCAATCCTCTTCTCCCTCCCTCCCCACCTGCCCTCCCACACCCCTCCCCTTTGGTAACCACTAGTTCCTTCTTGGAGTCTCTGAGTCTGCTGCCACTTTGTTCCTTCAGTTTTGCTCCTTATACTCCACAAATGAGGGAAATCATTTGGCATTTGTCTTTCTCCGCCTGGCTTATTTCACTGAGTATAGTACCCTCTGCTCCATCCATGTTGTTGCAAATGGTAGGATTCGTTTCTTTCTTATGGCTGAATGGTATTCCGTTGTGTATATGTACCACATCTTCTTTATCCATTCATCTACTGATGGACACTTAGGTTGCTTCCACATCTTGGCTATTGTAAATAGTGCTGCGATAAACACAGGGATACATATGTCTTTTTGAATCTGAGATGTTGTGTCTTCGGGTAAATTCCAAGGAGTGGGATTCCCAGGTCAAATGGTATTTCTATTTTTAGTTTTTTGAGGAACCTCCATACTGCTTTCCACAATGGTTGAACTAATTAACATTCCCACCAGCAGTGTAGGAGGGTTCCCCTTTCTCCACATCCTTGCCAGCATTTGTTGTTCTTAGAATGGATACTCATTTTCAAACTGTCAGAGTTTATTTATAAAGGGAAAAATATAGAAAGATTTTAATAGGCAAAGCTCCCAATTCCTACTTATTTTCTTCCTTGGTGGGAAAAAAAGCATATGATACACAATTATCATGGCCTGTATTGATGAGTCTTACAAGTGATATTGACAAAAACTATAAAAATCTAAAGTTTAGATTAAAGTAATGCTGCCCCCAGGCATGTCTATCTACATTAATATAAATTAAACCCAGTCTATATCCATAGAATCCTTCGCTCCTCCTCGGTGCCATTTTGCTTTCCTCACCCCCTTGCTGCCCTCAGCACTGGCGCTGTGGACCGGCTGTGCTCCGGGGCCCTCTGCTGCCCTATCCCTGCGCTAATCCACCCGGATGCACCTCGAAGCACCAGATGGCAAAAAGGGATGAGTGCCTGGCATGCGGCCTCAGCTCCCCACAAGAAGAGGGGGGTTCAATGCCTTCCCAGCCTCTCTTCCCTCCTTTACTTTTATTACCATTAGGTCAGCTTTTTGCTTCCGGGGTAGAGTCACAGGAGGGTAGGGGCAGACTCTGCGCCCTAAGGTCATGGAGCCAAGAAATCGGTGCAGGCACCCCCCGCCCCCCACCGGGGGTGTACAGAGAACACAAGGATGCCCTGCACAGGGCAGCGTGCTAAATTCACAGCCCAGGGGGAGGGTGATGAGTGGGGGAAGCAGGGATTCCGTGCATGGGAACAGCCTGGGCAGTCGCCGCGGGCACTGCCCGTCAGCAGTTCCAGGTCTGATGATGCTCTTTGGTTCCCAAAGGAGCATGACTGAGGGGCTGAAAGATATTGTTGAAGGACCAAATTTTACTTACATCTCTCCTCAGACCTGCCTTCCCCAAGTTTCTCTATTCACCAGACTGGAAACTTTCTGAAAGAAATGCCTGGGACTTCTCCATTGTCCTTCTAACCCAGAACCACATAAAAAAACTTAAATAATGGTCAGAGAGACCCACATCTAGAACAGTTGCTGTCCACTATCACCCCAGTCTCTGGGCTGCATTGTCACTTCTGAACATGAACCCACAAAGGGGCAGCCTGAGTCCACGATGAGCCATTTCCTCCTGGGGAAAACCAGGCGCATGTGCACAGACCTTCTCTCAGAGCCACGTGCTCACCTCCTGGCCCCCAGGGGCTTTCCTCTCATGGTCTCAGCTGGGCCATTGATTCTCTGAGAAGATGCTACTGGGCTACAAATGGGTGGGAGTTGCTGGCATTTGGAGGAGTTGACCAGGGACCAAGTCCTTCGATTCAACACCTTACCACAGTGCCAAGACCACTATATATGTTCAATAATATTTTAAAAAACAGTTGCATGACACTAAAGTAATAAGAAACCCAAAGCACTAGGGGAGGAGGTGTGTGAGTGTGCAAAGTAGAGGAACTATTCCATCCCAGATCGGGGCCAGAGCCCTTCCCACTGCCCAAAGCTTCTTTGGGCTCCCTATGTCTTCTTCCATCTACAGGAGGCTTGGAGTTTTAAGTGACCTCCCCTTGGAAAGAAGTGACCAGGCTGAGGACAGGGGGATGTGTCTGGACTATGGCTGGTGGGTGGGAGAGGTGTCACATAACTCATAAGCTCTACAAGGGTTACACGTTTCGTTCCCAGCCCTCAACTTAGAAGATCCCTGCAGGGGCAGATACTGAGCCCAACCTGGCTGGGCCTGCTGGGCCCTATCAGTCTCAGGAGCAGCAGGCCAGTCCTGGCAACTCCCCTGCCCAAAGCCACTCAGGTAATCCAGGCTCATTATAGAAAAATGCCAAGTCACTCTTTATTGGGCACCAGCACCAACCTCCTTCTTCCAAGCGCAGGGACACGTGGGCAAGAGGCTCCATCCCCCGGCCGGGATGTAATGGAGGCTTGGCCCCACTACCACTCTCCTAGGGCCAGCACCTTCCTCAGTGCTTGGGGCTGCTTGCTCAGGTCTGTTCAAGCTCCTGTTCACAGTAGCCCACATTGAGAGGCTGGGCCTGGACACCTCGCCTGCAAGACATGAAGAAACGGTGAGATGAGCCACTCAGGAAAGGGGCTGGTCTCAGGCACGAGCCACACCTTCTCCACCACAACCAACAGTTTCCCTTCTTCCCCGATTTCAGTGGATCTCAAACTGCCACCGTACACCAAAAGCTCTCAGGGATCTCACGTCCAGAGATTCTCGTTCGAGGTGGGGCTACATGTTGGCAAGAACCCAGACCCTGAATAGGTGCCCCAGGTAATTTTGATTATAGGGACACCCAGGAACTTTGGGGACCACCTCCCTATTTCTCACTTGCCTGTCTCTGCACCCCAGCCCCAAACTGCTCAGTCCCTGTAAAAAAGAGGTCATGCCTGAGGGGTGCTCTTGGCCCCCTGAGCCCCCTTTCAGTGGCTAAAATGCTCTACATGCAGTGGTGGTGGGGGACTGAGACACTGTGCAGTCCATGCACAGGGTGTGGGCATGACATCCCGTCCTTGGGTCTCAGCCTCACAAGTTCCAGGACCCGGCCAGTCTCCTTAGCAGACTTCTAGGCATACCTCCCTTACTACCTAAATGAACAACATGCTTAGAGATGGTAAGGAACTAGTGCAAAGTGACCCAATAAATTACAGGCAGTTGAGACTTAGACCCACCATGATTGGCTCTCTCAGCTGTGCACTAGGCCATGACCCCCAGGTTCTCAAGACCTACTCAATGTATGGATCAGGGAAATGACTGTCTTACACAGGTTCAGCCCCAACGGAGGCACAGGTGTCACGGAAGCCAAAAAATCATGGCAGTGGCTAAGAGCACGAACTCTGAAGTTGGCCTGCTTGAAACCCTGGTTTTAGTGACTCTGGGCAAGTTACTTAACTTCTCTGTGCCTCTGTCGCCTACCTCTAAAAGGGGGGATCAAACCTACCTTGTAGGGTTGTGGTGAGGATTCAATGAAGTAATACCTGTAAAAGGCTGAGAACAGTGCTTGCCACACTGTAAGCCTCTGCAAATGTTTGCTCTTCTCCTGTCAGTAAGGGGCTCCAGGGCTCTGACCTGCCCACCTTCTTGGGAAGGTCCCATAGCTTGCTTACCTCAGCAGCTCACAGCGGAAATCTGCCAAACGTTTATAGGCAGAGTCCAGGTTAGTCACTGACTCGTTGCTCCACAGCCTCTCAGCAACAGCCCCTGCTCTGGGCCTGGAAGAAGGGGACATGTGCCAGGTGGGGCCTCTATTCCCTGCCAGGGTGCTGGACACCCACAGGTTACTGACTCTTGTTTAGGTGCCTTGGACTAGTTCAGGGTCAAGGTTATTCAGAGCGACAGCCTGGCTGGAGGGCTCCTAGGGACTTCTGGGGCCCAGCTCATCTTCATTAAAATGTGGATAATGATCCCACTCTCCCCCTCTCCCCAAGATATGGGAACCAGAGTAAGTCTCAGAGGCAGCGTGAACTGTTACTGACAGTAGCTGCAGCAGCAGGGGTTCTCGAGATGTAAAATCTAACACCCAGCCAGGCTCAGGGAGGCTGCCAAGGAAACAGCACAGGAAGTCTTGACAGGAATCATGAACGCCAGTGTGGGTTCCTGAGCAAGTCGTCTGTGCTCTGCACGTCTCCTTATCTTATCTGTGATGTGGGACAACAATCTCTGTCCCACATACCTAATGGCTGTTGGAGCCGGGCGGGAGGTGCCCCTTCTCTCAGGCCCGGAAGGAGGGCACCAGCCTGGGGGGGTCTGGAGGGCACTGAGTCTGCAAGCGAGAGCCCATGCCCACAGCATCCAGCCTCCACAGCCTCAGAGAGCCCTTACCAGAGTCTGGGGGCCAGGTTGGTGCTGTCCACGTACTCCCCCCACATACAGGCCTCACCGCCAATCACGAGAGCCTTCTGCTCAGGGCTACCTGAGGGAAACAAGCAACAGCAGGCTGCTGGTGGTGCTGGTGGGTTCCTCTAGGGTTCCCCTCAACCACTTTCCCATGTGGCCCTATTCCTAGATAGGACATTTCATCTCCTAAGCGGAGCTGTCTAGGCCAGACCCTCCTGCACCCGGCCCCGTGTCCTGGCACAGCCTCTTCTGGTCAGCAAGGAGAGCTCCCTGCATTCACCTTCAAAGGCCAGGGGCTCCACCATGTAGGCGTTCTTCCAGTCAGGGCCGTAACTTATCCAGTTCAGATACCAGGGAGCAGAGAGCAGGGCGCGCAAGCCAGCACTGGTGATCTGGTGCAGCTCATTCCAATAGTTTACTGGTATCTTTTGTCGCCATACCTGGATGATTGTATCCGGCCGAACCTGTCACAAAAGGTCAAGTGACAGTAATGGCAGTAGCTGAGGGGAGTCCAGGGCTATATTCTTCTGCAAGCAACCCAAGCCAAGGAGTGTGCGCCCCTGTGCTCCCCAGCAGCAAAGTGTTTCTTTCTGACTGCTAACCACTGAGCTCCTAATCCAGTGCGGAGGCCAAGGATTCCGGAGGCCCCAGGGGAGCTCCCTGCTGCTGCCTCCCTGTCCACACTGACAGAGTAACACTGGCTGCGAACCAAGGGCGGCTGGCAGTGGGGCCCAGGAGACTCATAAGAAGCTACCATGTCCAAGAGCCCCCAGGTGTTTCTGAGCACGGATAAGGTTCCTGCAGAACCTCCGCATGTGGCGGGAAGCTGGGATCTTACTGAGCAACAGTAAAGGAGAAGACGGCCATGCTCCCAGACGCAGGGATCCCAACCCATCATACCAGTCTCAGGGATCCCAAGTAACCTAACTGCAGAAGTAATTCTTGATCGGTCGCTAGTGAGGAAAGACAGAGGCTCTGACACCCACGCCGAGGGCTCAGACCTCTGTGACCTTTCTAGAGGACAAGAGATTGCCTCCAGTGTTCTGGACATTAAAAACTAACCCCAAACAGAAGGATCACTCCATGCAGAGTCAGGGAAGGGGCTGGGAGACCAGAGGGAGGCACCTCTCTCTGCCCTGGCTCACCTTTACTTTATTATCAAACACCTCCTGCCACACCACACAGCCCTTGCCATAGGCAGAGACGATGTCCAGCAGCCTGGGGAACAACGAAAGTGTCCACTTAGTTCAGATCAGCTCTAGGCTGCTGGTGTCAGTGCTCTAGGGGTTGAGCCTGGCTAGGGGCCCATTCCTGACTGAGCAGCGCTCCCCCACCTGGGAACTACCTCCTCCAAACCTGGAAGGATGGACCAAGGACTCCTTCAGGGACCCAGAGAGAGGTCAAGCAGGGCTGGACTCTGGTTCTGAAAGTGAGGACCCCACACCAGGTGACCCCAAGGGACCCTGCCCACCGTCCTTCCTTTCTCACGTCTGGATGTAGAAGGATTCCAGCTGCTTGAAGTCACCGCCAAAGCCCATCTGCTTCATAAAGGCCTGGATGTCTGGGTTGGATTTCCTGAGTCCCAAGAGAAAATGAAGATTAATTCTTTCAACATCGTTAAAGCCCAAAGCTTGGGGATTAGTTACCTGGCATCTCACAACTTCTTTTTTCACTGAAAAACTGTTCACAGAAGAACTCAGAGGCCGAGAAAGGATGAGCCTGGACCTGAAGAGTTTTAAGTTTAAACTCTCACAGAGAACGCAAACGGATCTCTGGACTTCCACACGTGCCTCTGCGGTCTTGGCTTGGGGCTCTGGCACACGGGATTCTAGTTCCCTTTCCAACCCTTTACCCCAGGCATATTCTGTTTTACTGTTAGTACTTATTCTTTATCCTGATTGGACACAAGCATTGCTGTCTGTCGCCCACTGCAGCTCCCTTGTTCCACAATGTCCACATTTTGCTCACATTTCCTCCTGGTCTGGTTTTCCCCTCCTCCACATCTCAAATAAGCCAAACTATTTCCCCAGATACAGTTTAAGAGCCCACTTCTCAAGAAGCCCCTCAACCTCTTTTGAACTAAGTAGATTTAAGGGTTTAGACCTTCCAATTTAATACTAACTAGACACTATCAGATATTAGTCTCAAAGTCATCTGTGGCTTAATTCTTCAACCCACCTATTTTTAGCCTTCAAAGGCAGGGATTATTTTTCCTTATCCTGCATTTTCCCAAGACAATTATGTTCCCAGAGCTGGTTTTTCCATATCTCAAGGATATGACAGGAGGAAGGGAAAGTTTCACACTCAAAGCTTTGCCAAAATCAGGCAGGCCTCTCTATAGGTAGAGAGGAAAGGCCCAAACCTGAGTATTGGGATTGAGAAAGACTGTCGTCTCAGAGGTAGCCCCTGAGGAGCACCTGAGAAAGGTAGCCTCTCAGAGGCTAGCCCCTGTGCTAAGTAAACAATTCATCGGACCAGCATGGGAAGAACAAAGGGCTCTTACCAGCAGGAGAAATCAACTTCATCTCCTCCAAGGTGAAGATAAAAATCTGGGAAGACAGAGCTGACCTCCAAGAAGAATGAGCTCATGAACTCATAGGTACTGTTGAGAATGGGATTCACTGGTCCAAAGATGCCAGAGGGCCGAGCCCCAGAGTAGCAAGGAGTCAATAATCCAGGGACACCTAAGCCAATAGAGAACCCCACAGAAGTGTCACAAATACAGACTCCCACACACAGTCTTATACGTAAGGACACTTAAGTTGCACAAAGTAAGATAATTGTGTACATAAACATTACACACACACAGGCAGGAATACCAGGCCCTCACAGACACTGGTAATCATGAATGTTTAGTCACAATCAAATACAAATACATCCACAGTCACAGACAGGCTGGGTTACAGTCAGGCAACCGTCAGCGCACACAATCTTGCCTTGACCCGCTGCTTCCAGCAGGGGTCACCCTGCTCCCAAAGGCTTCTCTCTCGTTAAGAAAGCAGAGGAAGCCTGATCCAGCCAAACTGGCAAAATCTTTCCTTCACTCTAGGGGATAACCTGCAAGGGCATCACTAAAACAAGGACATCTGAGAAGAATTTACCCATATTTTATTAGTAAGAAGTGGTCTCCTTTGCCCAGAGTAAGTTCTGCCTATCCAAATTCCCAGGGGAAGGAGCTGATGGAAAACATTCTTCCAAGGACCAAGATCCTGAAGCCCCCAAGGGGGGTCAACAGACTCCCTCCAACCCCTGGCATTATTCTTACCTGGTCCCCAGGACAAAGTGTGGCCAGGAGTGTCAAACTCTGCCAACACACGGATACCCCGAAGCCGTGCATGTTCAATAACCTTCTTCACATCTTGCAGTGTGTAGATGTGGGTGGCAGGGTTGTAGGACCCCTGAAAGGCATAAGACACCCTTCAAGATCTCATTTCCTGAAGGCAAGCAGAGTAGAGGATATTCAAAATGCCTCCAGGGCACTGACTTTAGCCACGCTCTTTGGTATCAGGGACTATCTTCAAGGAACTTTATTGTAATTTCCAACAAACTGTCACATCTATTGTTTTATCTGAGTGTCATAGCCAGTGAGATAAGCAAGGTAAGTATTATGCCTATCTAACAGAATATAAATAAATAAACAAAAAGAAAATGAGACCAGAACAGATTATGCCCTGAACATCACAGAGCAAATTAACAGCAAAGCTTGGACTTGAACTCAGGTTCAGTTCACCCTAAATCCAGTGCCTGTCCCCTATGCCAGTGTGTCCCTAAAACTGGCTGGTTAGGATGAGAGCTGGTGTCCTTATCAGCAGGGCTATGGCCAGACTCAGACATATACCCTAAACTTGATATGGGAAAAATTGAGACATACCTTTCTGGTAAGCTCTGGAAAACTGAAGCTCTCATATGGGAAGGAAGGGTCATCGACCAGATGCCAGTGGAACACATTGAATTTATTATAGGCCATGACATCCTGTAGATCAGAGCACAGTGTGAACCATCCCAGCTTTTCCAATGTCAGCCTCAAGCTGGGAAGGTGGGCAGGCTGGCAGGCTACTCCACACATCTTAGCACGCTCACCCTGCCCAAGCTTCCTGGTAAGTGTTTATAGAGTCTCTATCACCCTTCCCATCAGGAAGTGCCTGGCTTGGAGGGAAGACCCAGCACATTTCTTCTTTTCCCAGGACACATCCAAAGACGGCTGACAGAAGTCACTTTTGAGATGACTTCTGGCCACACTGAGAGGAGGGCTGCAGCTGGGTGGTGCCCTGGAGTCTTCCAGAAGCCCCACAATACCCTGAATTCTGACACTTCCTCCTCACATTTGTTTTGGGTTGTCTGAATAGTGTTTATATAAACTGTGATGTCTGTTGTGTATTCAGCAGCCCCATAACCCATAAGCCTCAGATGCCAAAGATTTATGGGTGTGTCCACTCCTTTGGTTCCACTGGAGGAGCAGAGGAAAAGGTGGTCACACAAGCTGGATCAGCAGGTGTCAGGTAAGATGGCCCATCAAACCCAACATCTCTTTCCTACAACCTTGTCTTAACTAAAGTCAGCTCTGCTCTTTCAAAGCAGCTGATTTCCCACACTACCTTCTGCACCCCTGGAGGCGGCCTGGAGATAGGTCCATGGTAGCCAAGGGGGTAGACTTAAATCACTCTTACTATTTTTCTCTTAGACCAGGGAATCTTACACATTTTTTCCTAGGAGCTCCTAAAATCCATCTGTTCTTCCTGTAACTATTTAGGGATACAGTACTTGGTCTATCCCTTACCCCATTACCCCAGAACCTGAGGGCAAAGAAGGCCTTAAGGCCTGGGTACCAGAGTGTCCAGGATGCTGGCCAGTGGCAGGTAATGGCGAGATGTATCCAACAACAAGCCCCGGTGGGGGAAGCGGGGAAAGTCCTCAATCTCTGTCTTGTTGATCAAATACTGTGCAGAACAAACATTGACCATGTCAGTATTTAAAGGGAACTCACTGTTGGGGTGGAAGGAGATGAAGAAAAGTCTCCCAAGATCCCTGAAAAGCTGACCTGTGACTGCTGGGGTAACTATCTCCCCAGATGCCCCACACCGCTACCACAATGACCATAAGCAGGCACCTATCCAGAAAGTGACTGTCCAGATAGAGCTGTCCCACACACCACTCAGCCTATGGACTCTGCATTTTCACTGACAGTTTCTTTTCTTCAAAGCAAGGTGGTCTCAAGGTCATTACTAAGTAACACCTCAAAAGTACTAAATAACAGTGATTCCAAAAGACAAATTTACCAAATCAGTTCCTCCCACACAGCTCCTTGTATACTGTTGTTGGGGCCACTGCAAGCCACCAGGGCTCTTTCTAAAGCAAAATGAGATAATTCTAGGACTCTCAACTCTCACCATTTAAATCCCAGAAACTTCCAAGGAGCCCTTTTTGAAGGCCGACACTCACCGTGCCCACAGGAGATCTCCAAACAAGCTGGCTAAAAGTCTCTAGACCTATGGGGAAGTAGAGAGGCGGAGTGAAGACTTCAGAGGTGGGAGAAGAGATGCACCCATTTGCAATGTTCCCAGTGTAGCAGAGGATAATGCTTAGCACCCAGTGAAAGTGGATGAAGTATATAGTCTCGATGATTCTCAACCTCATGAAAAGGGGATACTAGGAAGCCAGGTATCTATTTTTTCTCTGTATTCTATTCTGGGAGTGGCAGTGTAAGGGGTTTCAGTGCCCCTCCTAACAACACACTAACGCTCACAACCCACATACCTCTTATCCATATCCTAAGCCTTGAACTCACAAGAATATTAAGAAGAGAAGCCAAGATGTGTGAGTCCAGAGCTTTCTATGTCCTCCAACAGCCAAGGCCCACTTCCGGAAACCCAGCAGAAGCCCTGTGGAGGATTCCAGAGGTCCAGATTTTCAGAATGAGAGATTCTGTGAGTTCTCAGTAGTCACTCGGCACCTATGCTGAGGCAGACTTCTGGCATACTTGGCTTCTCTCCACTCTGACGCTGACGCCCAGCATTCTGGAATCCCAGATTTCCCCTTCCCTCAATCAGACTGCATGCAAGAAAGTCCAAGAGGGCAGAAGGGGAGTCAGCAAGCTGGCTCCCCAAAACACAGGGGAGGGCAGCGCAGGCGCAAGTGAGTGAAGACAAACCAAAACGAGGTTGGGACCTCTGCGGGGATCTCCCTCTCACTCAGCAGCAGGGCTCTTACCACAGGCCGCAGGGGGATCTGCCTAAGTCTGTATGTAGGGACCAAATAAATACCTTTCAGTAAATCAACTGGAAGAGCACAGCCCTCTCACCTAATCTGCTTCCAAAATAATATGGTTCTTCATATTTTACTACTATTTCCCTGTTCTTTGACATTTTCTGCTTCTTTCGATATAGTTTTCCTTTTTAAATAACCTTTCCAATTTCTACATCTTTAGCAAAAGCAGACTAGGCTGTGTTTTGGCAGAGTCAGCCCCTCTCCCAGCTGCCGGTGCCCTGCTGGCACCAACTTCTGGGGACAGCTGTAAAGAGAGCACTCCCTGCAGGGAGACGGGAAGCATTCCAGCTGGTCTCCATAAAGAAAGTTCCCCAAAGGGGGGCGCTCGCTGGGCCCCAGATCTGTCCTCCCACACCACCCATGCCGACCTTCCCACAGCATCAGCCCCACCGTGTTACCTCGGAGAGCACCCCAGACAGTCTCAGAGTGGAGGAAACATTGCTCATCATTTATGGTCAGGGTGTCTGAAATGACAGAAATAACCCCATTTTGATTAGGAATTTCTACTCTCAGAATCTAGGTCACATGTTCTGTTTAAGTCCTTGGATTACAAAACAGCAGAACCGACTTTTTTTTCATTCCAAGAGGAGGCATCCCCAGAGCAGAGCAGCTACAGGTCAGCCAGGCCGTGGGCCTGAGTGGGAGGGTGGTGAGCGGTGGCTGTGCAGGCCCTGGAACATAATGTGTGATGAGGTTCGGGCTGGAGTACAGTCCCTTGCAAAGCACCACCAACCGTGTGGGTCAGGTTCCCCGACAAGACACACACTCCTGACAGCCCTTAGCTGAAAGTACCAAGGGACAGGGGTGCTGGGAGGGCTGTGTCCTGGTTACAAAGTTTCTGAAGCCTTTGTAATCACTTTCCTTTCCCTACGTCTCCAGGCTTCAGCTCTTTCACCCACGAATGTGAGGGAGAAGCTAAGACTCGAATGTTCGCTTTGGAACCTGAGGAGTCCCCAGATGCCGCTGCTCAGGGAAGACAGGCAGCAGTCACAGGACTAATGACTTGGCTTCATCTCAGTACGCATTACAAAGACTCCTTCTCTTCCCAGTGTAGGATCTCCTAGAGAAAACCAGCAAAATGTACTAAATTCCTAAAATGACAATGTTATGATGTTCAGTCCAGATGGCAAGTGTCCCGGGGAGTCAGTGAACAGCTACTGTGATGCTGTACAGTCCACCCTCAGACACTGGTCAGAGTGCATACGAAAACTCACCTTCCGTGGCTCTCAGTACTTGGTGACCGAGGTCTCTAAGTCGCGGAGGGCTCCAGGTCTACCATCGGCAACTTAGGCCAGGCCATCAGGGATAGCTCCAGACAAGTGCTGGCTCTTCTAGAACAGCAAGCAGTGTGGTACTTACAATTCTCCACCGACTCCAAAGAAGGAAGCTGGTCACATCCAGGAGTGACCACAAGGACAACCAGTGAATTCTTCTCCAATGTACTCTTTCTTCCTGCAAGGACAAGGAAAATAAACTCAGTGTGGCTGGCTTGCCACCAGAAGCAACAGGTAAAACCAAGGCCCTACAGGAAGGTCCCTGGCTGTCCCTTCAGCGTGCATGTCTGCGGGGAGAGGAAGGGAGAGAGGGCATCGCCCCCTGGCCCAGGCACTGCCTCGTCATTTGTTCAACCTTTTCATTTTCGTTGTGCTTCGCTTTCTCCCCGGTAGCCCGCCCCAACCCATGTCTGAATGATGTGGTGGCAGCTCTTTGTGTATTTCTGGCTTGGTACAGCCCAAGCACATGATTCCAAGACCCCAACAACTGCTCCTAAACTAGAAGCAGCTCTACAGCACTGCCACTCCAGGTGTGGTCTCCACGTTAGTTGCTGGTTTGCACAATGTGTTATTGGCTGGCCAGTGGGTAGGAAGCTTACCCAATGCTGGAATGCAACTCAGTTATGTCAGGACAAACACAATGTTTGGTTCTAACATTTTTTCATAACAAGGTCTTCTTGATGAAGAAACAGATTTACCTCCAGTACATATGCTTCTCATCTCACTGCAGACTGGCACTTGAAGGAGCACTGCTCTTGAGGGCCCCAGTGGACAAAGCCCAGGAGCTACGAAGCAGATGATAGGAGGATCTCCTATGCACAGGAGGCCTGGAACGATCCAGCTGGTGCCCCAGTGAAGGCACATGGTCACCAATCCATTCTACTTCCTTCCCTCCTCTTCCAAAATAGATTCTCTGACCAAGGTAGGCTTCTGCCAACAGTGGACAGCCATCCGCTCTGAGCCAACATACGTAATGTAGTTCTACAGATCCAGTCCACGCAGAAAGAAAGCTAAAGCCAAAACACGAATGCACACCTCTTCCCACCCTCCTACTGGTTCTTCTCCATGACCTTTGGGATAGTTTTGATTGTTCTGCCCCAAGCCTGAACCTCAGTGAACTCCCTTTCTCCACCCTTTTCTAGAACCGCAGCATTCCTGCTGGCACCACAGCATCCATGACTTCCTAGGGAACCATACAGTCAGGCACAGGATGGCCTGGCAGAAGGCAGGGAGACAGAATTCAGTAACAAACTGGAACCCCATATATTATCCACCTCAGGCAGAAGGAACTCAAGAGCCTTGAACCATCTTAAGGGAGCGTGCTCAAACCTGAGCACCCCCACACGGCTACATCTCAGCTCTCAGGTCTGCTGAGAAGCAAGCCCTTTCCTACCAACATGAACAAACACTGTCTTTCCCTTCTCTGTAAACACCCTGTCTCCACACCCGAATACCTGCCTAAACCCCGCAGGGAGAAGGGAATCCGAGACCATTCTGGGCCTGGAAACTCACATCTCCATTCTAAACCCTGAGAACTCATCCCCACAACACAGAAGGAAAGCCAGACGTTCAGGGCAGAGACCACTCTCAAAGCAGGCTCTCTAGGGCCATCACGAGCTCCTGCCGCAGCCAGCCGCCTCTATAAACCGCAAAGACCAAGGAGGACTTAACTGAGGGGCAAGAGTGAAAACCTTGTAAGAGAATAGCCCTCATCCCGTGCCTCCCGGCCCCCTCCAACGACCTCACAGTCACGGCGCCCTGAAGTCACTACGCGGAGGGCTCATGCGTGCGACCACCCGGGCAGCCATCCCAGAGAGGGCAAAACTCCCGAGCTTCAACGTTAATCCCCTGGACATCAACCTACCACACTGAGAAGAAATCACAGCTATCAAGATGCAATTCACTGTCCTGATGACAGGAGAAGCTGCCCGATTACCAGGTTTACTTAACTATTACTGGGAAGACAAGAAAACATCTACTGATTGTTGTGGCTATTATATTTTTGTTTTCCTAAAACACACCTGCAACTCCATTCTCTAAATCCACAGTCTTTTGTGGTGACAGTCACAGACTCCTTTGAAGATCTGATGAGAAAGAAAGGATTTTTTTTCCCCCTAGGACAATGACCCTAATTGAAGGGCTCATCCCTCCACCCCCTGCCACCCAACCTTATGGGGAAGAATTCCTGCCCTAAGTGCCCTCAATGACTCATCTGGGTTTGGGCTGAGAAAGAAGATACAGAGTCACCGCTGCTATTTAAACAAGCTATGAGGGGGAAGGTCGGGGGAGGCGGCGATCTGAGAGTCGGCAGAGCGGGAGGGACACTGGGTCGCGCAAAGGCTGTAGATAGACTATCATCAGGTTCTCCACCTCCAAGCTGCTCCTCTGAAGAGAGCAGGAAATGGGACAGGCCCGCGGCCTCTGCTCACGCGCACATGCCTGCACGCCCTGCGCTGCGGCGAGCTGAGGTCTGGGAAGCCCGGTGTGGCCGGCAGCCTGATCGGCCGGCAGTCCCAGGGGCAGCTCGCAATGAGCCTGGGGGGACAGCAGGAAACTGGCGGCCTCGAGAGCTCAGGAAGCAGCAAGGAAAACAGAGCGCCGAGCGGGAAATCAGGAAAGGACGGTTCTGGTTCTGGTTCTGCTGCTGCCAAACCCTCGGGGCTCCCATTTTCTCCCCCGTAAACAATGGCAGGGTGGGGCTGGTGCCCGCCTCTCCTCAGAGCTGACATTTCGTGGTCCCACAGACTCCAAACACTCCAGCGTCCCGCTCCATGACCCGTCTCCGCAGCTCCTACTTGCCCTGCTTTCACGTGAACCTGCTCTGTCCTTTGGGTTCACTGAAAAGTCTAAAAATTGAAAAATGGAAAAGAGCACAGAACTGTTTACCACATACACAAAAACAGAAGTTATCTTTGGCGTCCCTCTTCAGAACCCTCCCTTGTGCCCCCTTTCGGCATAAATCAGCCTTATTCATCACAGACAGGCCAGCTCTGGATGTGGAAGCCTGAGCCTCCTTGAATGCCAGAGTCCTGCGGTCAAGCCTTCGCCGGGCGCTACGACCCTTCCGTTCCCGTTCTGTTCCCAGTCCTCTCCCATCTTCACTTCCTTCCCTGCTCACCCAGAAGGGGTGACCCATCACCTCAGACACAATCTAGCCAATACTCTCAACCATCTGTCTTTTTCTTCTGATGCAAAACCATCGGCCCTAAATCAGTCTAACATCTGCCTTCTGTGCCCCTAGTCCTGGCTGCCACACGCTACCGGAGGGAAGGGGCAACATCACGTATCAGTGGGACTGGGTCCTCATGACATCATGGTCTCTCAGCTTGGCTGGGCCCTTGATGCTGCCCTGACATCTGTCCCCACCACTGCTCTTTTTCTGTTCTATGCAACAGCTATTTCAAACGTGTACCACCTTCTTCAAGTCTGTAACTTGCCACAAACTCCTTTACTCTCGGCAGACAAATCAGAAGAGGACCCCCATCCATCTCTACCTTCCCCTCTCCTTCCTGACAAGAATACCTGCAACACACGCCTGGTCTTTACCTTCTCCCCCTGCCTTGGTGGAAGGGGTTCCTTTCACCTGTGCTCTGGATTTCGCCCCAGGTTCCTCCTGTGTCAATTAGTCCCTTTTCCCCCAAAGTCTTCGAATTATTTCTTTCTGCTGATTCTCCCCCATCACTATTAAAATAATTACACGTCTGCCTGTTCTCAACTCCATGTCACCTCAGTCACTTTCTCTCTCCTTCCGGGCACAAAGCAACTCTAGAGGAAATGTAGCCTGAGCAGCTAGATGCTGAACCTCAAAGGCAGACAGATCTGGGCCCAAATCTTGGTTCTGACACTTTCTAGCTGTGGTAACCTATAGGCAAGTTATTTTCCCTCTCTGAGCTGCAGTCTCCTCATCTGTAAAATGGGGACCTCAGAGTACCTACCTTTTTGGGCTACTGGGAAGATAAAATGAGTTAATGCAGGTAAAGGCTCATGGAGTTGGTCGTCCTCGGTCCGCTCCACGTAGCCACTTCTTGACAACCCGTCTGCTCCTCAGTCCACTATAACCTGACTTCCTCCTCCGCCACTCCTCTGAAAATGTCTCCAAGGTCCTGTGGTTCAGTGACTAAACTCAAGGGATTCTTTACAGTTTGTTCATTCATTTATTTAACTGTTATTTACTGAGGGCTTACTCTGTGCCAGACTGTTCTAAGTGCCAAGGGTATAGCTGTGATCAAAACAGACAAATATCCCTGCTGTCACAGAGGTGACATTCTAGTGACAACCCACTTCCGGGACCGCCTGGTAGTATCGGACATCCCTGGCCTTCTTGAAATTACACCCTCGACCGAGGAGGCACTGCTCTCCGTCGGTTTTCCTTCCGACTCCTCGCACATGCTCTTCCTTAACCCAGCCCTACAGGCCGGTGTGCCCCCGGGCCTCCCGGGCTCCAGGCTTCCCTTTTTCTCCTCACTTACACCCTGGATGTCATCAACTCCCCACAGAATAATGACGGTTCTCAAATCTACCTTTCCATGCCAACTCTTCTTCTGGGGCTCTGGACTCAGACGTCTCAAAAGTACCTTGAATCCTAAATACAAAACTGAACTAACCCTTCACTCCACTAATTCACCCAGACCAGAAACCTCCTTCTCCCATCTTTTGAGTGGATCACAAGTGCATTCAGTCAGAGTATTCACTGACTGTCTACTGTGTGTCAAACACTATGCTAAGCACTGAGATTTTTTTTTTTTTTTGAGAGGGCATCTCTCATATTTATTGATCAAATGGTTGTTAACAACAATAAAATTCAGTATAGGGGGGGTCAATGCTCAATGTACAATCATTAATCCATCTCAAGCCTAATTCTCGTCAGTCTCCAATCTTCTGAAGCATAACGAACAAGTTCTTACATGGTGAACGAATTCTTACATAGTGAATAAATTCTTACATGGTGAACAGTACAAGGGCATTCATCACAGAAACTTTCGGTTTTGATCATGCAATATGACCTATAAACCATCAGGTCAAATATGAATATTCGTTTGATTTTTGTACTTGATTTATATGTTGATCCCACATTTCTCCTGTTATTATTATTATTTTTATTTTTAATAAATGCTGAAGTGGTAGGTAGATTAAGCACTGAGATTTTAACAGTAAAAAAGAAAGATCCAAAGATGTCTT